TTGAAGAATAAAATTGTTGCTGTCATTGTGTTAAACAAACATTCTGAAGCGACAGCATCATAATAATTTCCCAGATTACTTTAATCTAGCCAATGAAAAATCAGCTCTTAAACTAGTCGTGGCCTGGAGTTTTACTTGCGTAGGTTAATTTACGTATTGGGCCAGTGCTGCTTCCAAATAGTGAGAGGATTTGTAATTACAAACCTTCAAACAACTGAATATTCAAAATTGTTCTCTTTTTAAAATTTGTTTAGAAAAGATACCTTAGGAATCACAGTCCAATAGTAAACGCTGTTTTACAGACTTGATTTTCAAGTATATCGCTTACTAACTTTAGCCCGCGGCTTCGCCCGCATGGTATGTTGATAAAAAGTAGCCTATGTCCTATTCCGAAATGTATCCTATGCATGTGCCAAATTTCATCCAGCTCCGTCCAGCCGTTTTGGCGTGTTCGAGTAACAAACATCCAAATATCGTAACTTTCCCATTAGTAATAAGAGTAAGAAGTCAGATAAGATCACTTGCTTCAATATATAAACGACAGACCAGTTAGCATCGCGACACACGCGCAACGCTCATGATTATGAGCCCTTAACAAGACTTGAAATTAGTCGAGAATCTCGTCAAACAATTACGCAAGCCGTTTAACATAATAAATGATAGAAGCTATAACTATCCTTAATGTATAACATATCCACATAAAAATATCTCTAGACTCTTACCAAAGTACTTATATGATAGCTTTTCTAACTGGAATCTCATCCAAAGTGGCTTTCCCTGTTTGTTTCACGACAAATGGATATCCTAATCATATCACAATGCGTGGGTGGTTGCTTGTAAGGCTGAAATGTATTTACTAATGAATATAAGAGAATATGACTGGCATAATTGAGATTGATGGTTGATAAGCGGGGTAATTTTGTTTCGGTGCTTTAATACATTTCGAAGAACGAGTAGGTTGAATTTAAAATCATTTTGACGAATAAAAAGTTTTCCTTATCGAATGATGAATAATGCAAAAATAATATAACCTATGTTTTGAAAAGATGGCGCCTGTACTTGCGCGAATTTAGGAATACATTACCTGCCATTAATTTATAGACGACCATAGCTATGGCGCGTTCGTAATTCGAATTTCGAATGGTACTCTCTGTATGTAGGGCAAATCCAGCCGGCGCGGCCATGCGAATGTATATGGGTTACCGGTAGCATCACAAATAACCACGCTCTATCGTAAAATGTCGCTATGTTTCGACATTAGCTGCATTATAACGTTTCTGGCGAACTAGGAAGATGCCACGGGATGCGTTGCACAACAGAGAAATGAATTTAGGCTAAATATTTTAATAGCTTTTCTGATTACCGCCTCCGCATTCGGCTGTCTTTCCCTAAGCTATGAGGGGTAGTTGCATTACTTCAAACTGTTTAGAAAGCTGTTTGCTATACATGTACAGAATTATTCATCATGTCCTTTCGGAGTTTGTTCTTTAAATAAATACCTCTCAGTAATTATTTATTATTTCACCATGTATTGTCAAATCTTCTGAAAATGCGATAATATTCTTTATCAACTTGTTGAGAAAAAAAATTAATTAGGTCATTCAGAATTCTTGGATGTCACGGTGTAGTGTTAGTTTTGAGTTTAATGGCAATTGACATACTTCAACTTGAGTAGATAGGAATTCGATGCTTTAACATTCTAGTCGCATTTTCAAGAAAATAGTACGGGCTGCTATAAACGATTTAATATATAGTAAAATTGTCTATTTTTTTTCCTAGTTTCCTATGCGAATGTGCTTATTGTTTGTGTTTATCTGTGTACCAAATGTTATCCAAATCTTTCAAGCCTTGTGAAAATGAGAGTTTACATTATCACTACAGAGTTTACATTACAAATGCCTCGAGAGAAATGCGCATTGATCACCATACTTGCTCATAGAAACTTATAATTAGAATTATAAAGTCCAGATTGCCTCATAATATTTTTATTCACAGTAGGCCAGTGTTGTCTTAATTAGAAAGAATTACCTGGTGGCAAGCAATCAGCGCCGCCCATGGGTACTCGTAAGAATATGGGGTATATCCTTATTATTAAGGATACATCCTTAAATCCCTAATAAGCTTGAGGATTGAGGATCGGGAGGCGTTAAGGATTGGGTCTATATAACTTGAAAAAAGGACAAAATGTGAACTTTCAATGGGAACTGGTGCATAAGAAGTGAGCGCCTTGACTTCTTGACTACCGCGAAATACCGAAGAAAAGTACTGATAACATATATATACAAGCATTCTTTAAAAAACTTGTATTATTTTATTCCTACTTTAATAGAAATGGGATATAATAACGAAAAGAAATGGTGTGTATGATGTTGTTAGTAGATTAGTAGCCAAAGATAGATCACGATCAGCTTGTCACAATTAGTTGAACATCAGTTTCGATAACGCTGTTTATTATCCCATTAATGTAGATCCAAGGACCAAACGACATTATTATAGTTGTATTTGTATACTTACCTACATTCTCTGATAATGTATAGGTACCTATGTATATATCCGTAATGCATACCTACGCATGTAAAAGCACGCACCAATCTATTGCAGAACTTTCAGCATTGAATAATTTTATTTCTAGTAAAATATGGGCTTTTTACAAAATAAGGACGTCTGATTTATTTTATCCTTTTGTATGTGATATTTCGGCTAACGACCAGACGGATTACCTGATGTTACCATCAGCAATCAGTGCCACCCATGGACACCCGCAACAACAGATGAGTTACGCGTGCGTAGCCGACCTTTTGGAGATTAATGATTTGGAGATTTAGGGATTGGGGAAGGGGAAGGATTGGGCCTCTGATAACCTGACTAACTAGCGAAACACAACACTGTGGTTGTATCACGCCTTCCTTAATTAAATCAATCGATGGATTTTCTAAATAAAGTGAGATTTTTAAAGCTTATTTGAACAAAAGTGTTGCGTAGATTTTGTTTTGAATATAATGGGTGTTACGGGGTAAGCGCAACGAGGCACCGCGACCTCTGCCTAAAGCAGGAAAAGGAACAGGGGGGTTTTTAGTCAGTAAGAGTCTGACACTCCCTCCCGCCTGGCCCTAGGCGGAAGAAGCCATTTGATGATTTTGCCTTCACAAAAAAAGGGTTTCATCTTGGTAGTTCTTTGTTTAATCTAAACAACTTGTGAGTTTCACGATCCCCAGAAACGGTTCTGTACATACCTACCTACTATATAGAGGTGTATTTTTGTTTACGCGCCATGGAATGCGTGGAGTGACGCACGTGTATGAGCATTTCGCCAAAACGGACGGACGTTGAGTGCGATCAACTGGAATTTACTTAACAGAAGCGATTGTTCCCGGCAATAACATTTCAAGATAATTGAGTTGTTAGATAGGTACTTATTGAGTGTTTTCAATAGGCTAAGTTGTAAACGAATTTAAACCTTAAACAGATTCGGATAAATTACTATTTCATGTGTCCTTAACAACTCTTCAGGGTGACATAATATCCACTTTATTAAGCTTCTATGAAACTAGAATAGTCAGCCTTGATTATGGTATACACCGATCGCCCATCCAATCAGTCAAAACATCTCGAAACTCCTATTGACAACTAAAAACAATAACAACCAGTATTTATATGTTTGGGGTGTTAAAGACATTTTCGGATTGGTAATCTTCTAAAATCTGAGGTAGGTTGCTACGAAAGAGTCTAACACCCGGTTTCCGAAAGGCCGATCAATGTGAAAATCAATTTAATCTCTTGTCAAGTCATTTGATTGGTTGACTGAATTATCAACAACCAATCAGATGACTTGACAAGAGATTTAACAGGAGATTTGTTAATTTTAGCGTTGACAAGCCTTTCAGAAACCGGGTGTAAGTAAGTCAGGATCACGTCACCTGTATTAAATGGCATTTCAATAAAGCCAGTAACTTAATCTATACTAATATTATAAAGCTGTAGAGTTTGTTTGTTTGAACGCACTAATCACCGGAATTACTGGTTCGAAATGAATAATTATTTTTGTGTTCGTACTCGGCTATAGGCCTTAAAATATCACGCTACGATCTGTATCGGCCGAGCAGCGGGTAAAACCGAACGAGAATAGCTAGTTCATAACTACAATGAACAAACTCAATCAAAGTAATTTGATCGGAGCGTGCCTTCAATGCTAATTAGAGGATAGCCGCCAGCTTCTGTATAACTAATACCTATTAAGTTCCCTCTTCATTTTCTGATCAACAATATAAAGGGGAAATTCAAAATAAAACAATTCGGTACCTACCGACGGTTGTTTAGATTGTTTTATTTGTAGTTACGACTACTTAATTAGAAAATATTATAATTGTTGTTCGGAAGGAATTATTGCGGGTCATATAAGCATACGCGGTATTGGATTCTCCAACTAGCTCACTGAACGATGACATGCAAGTGCTGCACGGAATCTAGGTCGCTGCATTTTTAATACGAGTAACGTCGCGTCCGTACAGTTGACGCACAACTTTACAGAATATTTTTCGATGGTCCAATACCCTCCAACATAAGGTCGCGTGGCACTAAAATTGGATTGTTTATCTTCAAACAAACACCAGATACTACTGCCCTTGGTACCGTATTTAACACGTAGAGATGATTCGTAATACAAACTGAGTAATAACGATCCTTAACACGATACTGATATGTTCATACAGGATATAATAAGAGGCATTAACAGTACGTTAACTAACACCACTTAGCGTCCACCACAAGGAAGGACTACAAAGAACATAAAAGTAACAATACGTTTAGTTTATTGTGCTCTATCGATTGTTTAACGTTCAATGCAGACGTGATAGTAGCACGTTGCTGCTATGGATATTTACAGAGCCAAATTATCTTTTAACTGTACCCCGATACTATTAAGTATACAAAGGTTCAGAACTAAGTTATTCTAATGAAATAATGTCTTCTATTTCAGGTAGTGCAAACAAAAGACAAACACAATGACGGTGGTGACTAATCCAGCGCGGACCAACTCGGATGATGAGATCGAGTCGGGTCATGAGAGCGCGGCGGGCGAGTATGCGGGAAACCTGGACGTGGAGGAACACGCTCGTCTCTACGACGACGAGAAGCAGTCTGACATCGTGTTCGTGGCCGGCATCAATGGCGACACGTGGCGCTACCCCGGCCACCGCCGCGTGCTGGCCGCTACCAGCCCCGTTTTCGCCGCGCTGCTGGCTTGCAAAACCGATGTTATCGTCGTCGACTACATCGACCGAAGAGGCTTCGAGCAGCTGCTCCGCTACCACTACTGCGAGCCAACACAACTCAACTCCGTGGCCACAGCTCGATGTGCACTCGATGCGGCCTACAAGTTCCTCTGCTCTCCGCTTGCAGAGCGATGCGCTCGACGTCTAGACGAAATGTTAGATGCTGGTGTAGCGCTCGAGATACTACGGGACTTACGATTCCTTTGTGCCAGGCTACCCGGAGCTGCGTCCGCACCGCCTCTGCCAGCTCTGTCAGATGATGCAGCAGCTCGGTCGCTGGCGCAATGTTCTCGCTGGTGCGACTCTCTAGCCCACAATGCTCTGCTGGTGCTCGATGATGACGCAGATACTGCACTCAATGATGAACGCTTGGAAGACCTTACTTATGAAGATTTGGCGCTTATTGTAAAACGAGACACATTGCGTGTATCCAGTGAGCTTGTATTGGCAGAGGCTCTATCGCGGTGGGCCACAGCTGCTTGTAAGCGTACAAAGCGGGAGTTGACGTCAGCCAATAAAAGGGCGGCTCTTGGCGAGCTCGCCTACTGCCCGCGCTACCTGCTTCTCTCGGGTGAAGAGTTAGATCGAGCTCTTTCTTTGGAGTTATTGGAGCCGATGGAGCGAGCTCTGGTGACGGCACGTGCTCGCAAATTGTCGGCGCCAGTGCCAGTAGGCGCAGAGCAGGAGTCGCTGCTGCGTCGCTGGGCGCGGCCGCGACCCACCGAGCCCGCGGCGCTGCCCGTGCACCTGAGCCCGCGCTCCGAGCCGCCCGTGGAAGAGCCGCAGCCCAGCAAGCTGTGTGCCCGCCGCCCCAAGCGTCCCAAGCAGCCTAGCTTTGCCCCTGAAGAGAAGCGCAAGAAGAAAGGCTGCTGCGCGTGCTTCGGCGAGGGATTGTTACGTGCTTTTATTTGTCTGTTTGACTGAGACAGGGAGCCAACCTACGTGTAAGGTTGAAGTATTGACAAATATGTGGACAAACTGACACTAAATGTTAAAATAAGATTTCGACTGAGTGTTAAGTACTGAAGTGACAAAACTCGGACTATACTTATGAAAAACTTCTTAAATCTTTCCTGTCTATCTGACTATCTATTGGTGTAAAATTACATGTTGAATTTATGTGGAACATTACGTATTGTGTAGGTATAGTATAATGTGTACATTACGATTTATCAACAACCAATATAAAATGACAGTTTGGTTTGATCAACATTTGGATAGACGTGGAGAGGTTGGGAGTAAAGATTGCCATCTTTTGTATTTTTTTACGAATCGAAATTGTAAACTATTCGTAATAATTATATTTATATGAGGTTTGAGTATTTTAGCTTTGTTGTACTTAGCAATGATTTAATGTATATTTAGTTAATGATGTAATTATACTTTATTTATGCAGCTGAGAATTAGAAGATTTGAGATAATATTTTGTCCATTTTAAGTCTGTGTTCATTTATAGTTTATGAATAGTTTGCTGGCGGCTGGACAATCTGTTTGCTAGTGAAATGTTAGGAAAATAAAAATAAACGCAATTTCGCGTCTTCATGTAGTAGAATATTGTATGTTGTGATATTTGTATGTAATACTTATTTTTTCATGATTATGACGCGTTTCATTTGTTACGATGACATATCGGATTGTTTAAAACAATTTGCATTTTTAAGAATATTTTTGATGAAATTAATTGGTGCACAAATTGTCGTTGTTTAGTTACCTACGTACCTAGTTCTATTTTGTTGTTGATAAACAGATTTTGTTGCATTTATTGTGTTCTAGGTGTATCTGTTGAGAGGATATCTAATACTATGTTAAATAAACAATTCCAACATGTCTGACTGCTTGCGTCTGCAAACTGTCGCTCGAATAAAAAAAGCCGAAAAAATATAGATTCTCACTGAAACAAAGCAACATTATATTAGATAACCTCTACGTTAATTACTTAGTAGCTTCGCTTAGTTAAATTTAGGTAAATTGTTTAGTATAATTCTTCCATAATTTAGTGAAATAGTTACCTAAATATTCACTAGTCGTATACCAAGTACATTAATATATCAAGGATTTTAACTGTATAAGTATTTGTTGGAAACGAACGTTCGGAGAACGGATTGCGTTTGCAATGTAGCTTCAATTGTATATCTTGATTAATTTTAAATTGTGCCATATAGGATGTGGTCTTAAAATACATTATAGTATGTTTTTGGTGTCGTGATACCACTTCAAATTATTGAGATTTGAGAGTCGCTCTCCATTTTTCGCATCTTTAGCAAATTGAGAAAAAAAAAGCTTTTTATGTAATTAAATTACTTACTATTCAATGTATTATTGATGTCCGTTTTAAACGATTATTAATGTGAATTGAGATTGTATTGAAGAATTTTTTCGAAAATGTATTAAATAATTTACTGTATCTAATCAAGAAGTATATAATATATGTTCGGCTCAGAGCTGTCAATCAAGGAAACCAATCTTAAGACAAAATATATGATGTTAAAATATTAAAATGAATTCTTTATTTACTACCTCCATACCTGCCTATCTGACTATCTTGTAAGCTAGGTTTTTTTATTGTATACGTCAACAAACGATCAGGCAGGATTAGCTGATGGTAAGCAATCAGCGCCGCCCATGGACACCCGGATCACCAAAAGTTAGGAGAGCGTTGCCGACCTTTCAGGGCTAAGGGTTTCGGATATTTAAGGAATGGGAAAGGATGGGGGAGGAAGAGGGTTTAGGCGAAACACAACGCTCTGGTTGCTTCAAGCTGTTTGTCTGTGAGGCCGTGTTATCACTCCGGTCGAGTCGACCCATTCGTGCCGATGCTAGAGTCTCCCACACTTAAAGCTCAAGCCGAGCTATTGCCAGCGCGATTGTAACAACGCACATGTTATGTAACGCGTTCTTCAGTTATGTTATACTAGCTGTCTTTTCCCAACTTCATCCCCAACCTAAGTAATAAATACACATAAACTTCCTTCTTTCTTTGTGAGGGGAAAATCAATTTGCTTTAAATACTATCTAAGTATGTAGTGAGTTAGACCCACGAATTTAAAAGAGAGGAAAAGAGAGAAAGAAAGATCCCGCCTATCACTTCCTTGAGGACACGGTGGTGATCAGCCCAAGCAGGACGAACAGCCATCGCATGCTTCACCGTGTTCTACAGGTGGTCCTCATAATGATGATACCCGGGCGGTTCCTCCCTCCCACCAGCCGACTCAACCGAAGCTGCCATGCCCGGTAATGCGTCAGATGGAAGGTGAAGACGCCATGGTGTCTTTCTACCCACTTCTCACAGGGATCTTACCGCTGCTGCTATCTTTAATGAACCTGAACTCTAGATTATATCAATCATGCCAATATCGAATTTTCCAACAAGGTAAGGACGGCAAAAAACGTCGTGGTGGCCCGAAGGCTAAGGCCAGGTGCCTTAGCCTTCTTGTTGGTTTAGCCTCTGGGGCTTCTGGTTGGTGGTGGTTGGGGCTGGGAACAAAACCTGGCAAGTACTAATGTGATTTTTTCCAAGTTATATGTAGGTAGGTACTTTTTATGAATATTTAGACACCACTTACATACGGTGAAGGAAAAAATCGTAAGGAAACCTGAACTTATAATTTCTAATAATACCTTAGTCCAACCTGGACTTATAATTATTAATTATAAGTTTGAAATCGCCAATCCGCCTTGAGCAAGCGTGGTGATTAATGCTCAAATCTCCGTGTCAGAAGAGCCCTTTGCTCATTGGTGGGCACTTATAGGCTGATGATGATGATGATGATGTAAGGACGGTATCTAACGTTGTCCATTGTCTACAAGCCTAGGGGTTGGGTAACCTTACATATCTTTACTACTAATACTAGTAAAATTTGTAAGTTTGTATGTAGTGGGTAATCTTTGGAACCCTGGTCGGATTGCCAAAATTCTTAAATGATAGATAGCTACCATATTCTTGAGTTCTATAGGCTATAAAACATCACGCTACGATCAAACGAAGCCGAGCAGTGGGTGAAACCGCGTGAGAATAGCTATCTATCTATATATTGTATTGTGTTTTTCTCCAGGGGAACTAAGTCTAGACTGGGGGTCGAACTGCCTAATGTTTGATATGAAATTGAAACGTACATTTTCTAAACTTAGGAAAAAAGGCATTACCTACCTACTTAATACGAGTAAGTTCTCGACTCGACAATAAACGTACCTAATCAACTTTTCAAACTATCACCAATAATATAATAAGTTTAATTAAAACGGTGAAGTAGCTTCCGTTTCTTTATGTGATAGAGCGGCAAACGATTGTTAACCAGTACTAGCAACACCAAATAGGAGGACAGCGGATATGACGTCATATTTAGATTATTTATTTACTGATTAATTTAAATAATTGGTTTATAATTATGTCCTAAGTAATTCGATTTAATTTATTGTATTAATGATCACTGGAGATTTAATCACACTAGAAATAATATTTATTAAACATAAATAACTAGTCACTTGATATTTGATGAAAGTATAAATAAGGTAGGACGATTATTTTTAAGGCATAATTGTTCGTGATTTGAAAGGGACCGTTACTCTGCTAAAATACATACTAGTTGTGATAAAAAGTGTTACGTGTTTACTTTTATACTGTAAAACGATTATATTATATTCCCTGATGGTAAGCAAATGGCGCCGCCGGCGAGTTAAGAGTGTGTTGCCAATCTTCCGGAGATTTAGAGATTGGAAACACAACGCTGGGGTTGTTTCAGGTTGGTTTACACGCCGGAAAACCTGAAACAACTACAGCCTTGTCTTTCGCCATGTGAGTTTGGTTACCGGAACCCCCTTTTCTCCACTCCCATTGCTTCCCAATCCCTCAATACGAAAAAGGCCGGCAACGCACTTGCAATTGTTCTGATGTCCATGGGCGACGTCGATTGCTTACCATCAGGTAAACCGTCTGACAGAATAATATGAAGAGTTCCATATGAAAACATTTCCGTATAATGCAATAATTGCTTAACCTTTCGACAGCGATGATAACAGAACAATAGTTTAGATATAATTGTGCGTACTTAAATGCATTGTTTTATGCGTCATACCACTAGACAGCTAAATGTGGGTGACTATGGAATCATGGTCCTCAACCTCCTCCTTTATCGTTGGAGCCTGGGACCTTAGAGACTGTCTCTGAGACTGCAAACTGTACATTTCTCCCCTAGCGGTCAGGGTTTCGATGATGTCCACTTTGTTTGTCATTTGTTGCAAAGCGTATCCCATTGAGCGCAAATCATTTCTCAACAAAGCCACTGTGTTCTGCAACTCTATCATCGAATTTATTTTATTATCGAGTTTTTCAAACTTATTCATTATTGAATCTCTAGCTTTATGTGTCCGATTTACTTCTTTATTCACTCTCGTAGTAATTGCCCTCCTCAGTTCTCTGAATTTCTTCTCGAAGCCGTTGTCCTCTACTTCGCGTGGTTTCACCCGGTCTCCAGTATTCGTAGCCAGGGTACGATACTTGTATCCCGAGCTACGTCTCGTGTAACAACTCTTGTGGAATATTCCCGACATTGTACGAAAATGTTTTTATTCTTTCAGTTTTTTTTTGTTATAGTACAAATAATTAGTTTTGGCGCTCACTACATTACGTGTCTGTTTTTGACTTTTTGTTTGACGTCTACTTGAAGGTTGACATAACAAAATACATTTATAGTTAAAAACAAGAAGTTTTCATCAAAAACGTGCTTACTGTAGTTGTCTATTAATGAGATACAAGCGCCATCTGTTGTATAGTGTTAGTATTTTGTCTGCATACTAGCGTCGTGTTGTTGATAGGTGCGAAAAGTGGTTATATTTATAGTTCACTGTCTGACCAACAGATGGCATACAGATGTAGATTTTATGAGTTTTTATTTCTCGTCTTACAGAGAGAGCAGTATAAGTTAATTTTTGGATTTTTTTTGAGGGTGTTGTGGCATTATTTTTTCCTTTGATTGTTTAACAAAACATTAAATGTACACCGCTTTATCGCTAGTTTTGCTGTGAGCCTTATAATAAGGACTTAGTCTAATATCATAAGCACGGAAATAATTAAAAAAAAATAAGAAAATAATTCAGTAAAAAGGACTCAATAAAATGTAAAAATATTATGAATTTTCACTTTATAGTACTTACCTGTTTGTGGAAAATAGTTGGGTATCTACCTCTGCCCACAAATGACATAACGTCGGATGCTTATGCATAAGAGTATTAGCGAACTTTGTTATTTCGGTAACAATGCTCCAAATTTAATCTTTGTTAAACATTCATATTCGCTTTTCAATACAATTCCACTTGTATAGAAAAAACCGTTGAACAAGGTAATGTGGCATTTTGAATTGAACAAACAATGAAATGGTCATTTTGAAAGAATCTATTCACGGGCCACTCGAAAACGTCGCATAAAAACTTGGTTAAAAACAATAATTCAGTTTGGTGTAAGGTTCACAATGGGCTGCAAAAACGGTGAAGGCAATTTTTTTCAAGGCATTGTATAGTTACAAACAATAAGGGCCCAGCAGGTTGGGACCGTACAGTATATTATTTCCAGATAAATTTATTTTTGATGAAGTGCAAAAGTCGGTGTTGCTCTTTTGACAGTATTTCGGTAAAATTTGTGATTTGGGCACAATGTGGACACAATCGTCCGTGAAGGGTTCTGCACACATGGGCCCAATATGTCCATTGTGCTTTGTGAGCTGCGACTAATGAATGTCCGTGTGAGAACTCCGTTCTTACACCAGTTTTTATGTGAAAACATTTATGGCGTTCACATGCACGATGATTTGGCTGAAAACCATTTTTTATTCCAGTTAGTTAATGTTTACGCTATGATAAAAATGTGTGAAATACCTTTATTAAAATTGCGTCATTTTTTTCTATTAATTCTTTAAACATTAAGATAAAAGTCTTATTTGATATTAAAAGCAAAGTTAAATAGAATAATATATCATAAACCGTGGGCAGGTAGAACCTAAGTTATTGTAATTTTCGTAAAGGAAAATGTAAATGTAATATTAAACTTTTGTTATATCAACGTTTAGTTAATAGCCCGGAGATGTTACTAGGGCCTGTACGTTACTATGGTTGTGCTGTTGTAAATTAGTCTTTCTCACTTACAATAAGTGCCAATGTGAACAGTTGGATAGCAATTATCCTTGTCTATTTGTAGGGCACACCCACACTGCGTGTATTGTCAGAGACAGCGAATTTAATGGGCTGACGGGCACTGGGCACGTCAGGTACCTGGGAATGCTCTGACGGATCATAATAGCCGAATAGCGCCGCTCTCAAGCCACTCCACGCATTGTAGCTAACAATACAACTTACAACTAAGCGCCACTTCATACAAAATTAACATTTTTTCTAGCAAACGTAGTTTCGTAGTAAATCTGACAGGTTTTGGTGACGCCAGGCGACACAGGTACCGATTTTTTTCCTGACGGGTCTTTCCCAATTTAGATATGGATAGATATCGCTCAGGTAAACTGTCGATGATTGATATTCGTAAATGATACGCTTACAGTTTTGGTATGAATGATATTTGATTCTCACCACTCATATGGCCAATTAAATGTGATCTTAGTTAGCTAAATAAATGCGGTTAATATGTCGATTAATTGTCACATGTCTAATGTAATTTTGAAGATAATTAATGTTGGCTTGGTACAACTTGAAAGGTATCAATGTTATCGCTTAAGTACCTAAATATCTACTTGCGTGGATACTGAATGGTATTCAATGATATTTACTAACGAAGAGTAACGTGTAGTTACGCAGATGTGGTTACATTCAATTACTATTGCTAATTAAACTTTAATGTTTTTAGAATAAGATCTTATTCTTTCTTCGGCCTTTATTAAGTTTTGTCCACCATTTATCAGAAGGTTTACTATTTTTGGAAAGCTTGAAAGTATCTTGATACCCAAGTTATCTTAGTGCGGGCTAGCCACGCTTCGCCTCGAATTGGTTGGCTCGACTATACTGATACCACGGCCTCACAAAAATCAGCACAATATTGTGTTTCGCCGTATCAGTGAGGCTACGGGAGGCCCAATCCTTCTCCTCCCCCATCCCTGCCCAATCCTTAAATCCTCAAAACCTTGAAACCCCAAAAATTTGAAACTCATCTGGTATTGCATTGCAGGTGTCTAAGTGTCCATGGGAAACGCCAATTGCTTACCATCAGGTAATCCGACCTGGAACACGAAGTCTATTAAAAAGACTACTGCTAGTCTATTAAAAAGACTACTGCTAGAAATGTGACTGAAAACAAACAACCGAAACGTAAAATAAATAAAATGACGAATATATATATATTTTGTCTCTATTGGTTGTTAAAGATCAAAATTGATTAAATTTCTTGGTAAATTTTAATAAAAAATATTGTAATGAACGTCTCATTTAGCATATTGAGATTTAACCAGGGCAAACATTAACATGTGCCTTACATTAAGATTCATTGAATAAGGCTATAATATCAATCAGATGATTTGAATTTGTAATATATACAAGGTCTGATGCTAATTTCGTCCCATTTTGACACATTTTAGGAATAATTGTGCAATTTACGCGATTGGAGGCCATTTTATAGGACTCTTTAAGACACCCAATTAGTGTTTTGTGCCTTAGATGCGAATCAAACATGTACAATACGTGTCACGCCAATGACTTCACGTGCGTGACATTTTTAGATACGTGGTGATACGAGATATGTATTATTCGTGTATCAGTTGTTTTTTAGTGGAAATTCTAAATGCTTCAAATGAATTTCTCCGCCCTGAGTGTCATCATCATCATCATCATCAGCCTATAAGTGCCCACTGCTGAGCAAAGGCCTCTTCTCATACAGAGAAGGTTAAAGCATTAATCACCACGCTTGCTCAATGCGGGTTGGCGATTTCAAACTTATAATTAGAAATTATAAGTCCAGGTTTCCTCACGATGTTTACCTTCACCGTATGTCAGTGGTGTCTAAATAATCATAGAAAGTACATATAACTCGGAAAAAGTCACATTGGTACTTGCTAGGTTTCGAACCCACACCCCCATGAGAAGTGGGCTCCTTAACCTCCGGACCACCACGACTGTCTGAGCCCTGAGTGTGCGAGAGGGAAACACTCTCTGTCAAACTCTAACCTACTCAACCCTGTTGCTTTTCCTGCTCTGGGCTATGGCCACGCTACATTTTTGCACTTACATCAATAAACCCAAAATGTATAATAGCAATGCAATGGTGTTTCTTGTAGAATTCCAAAAAGAATCATAAACAGCGTATAAGTACTATTAGATAAGTTTCGCAGTGCCCTTAAAGAGTAAATTGTAGTAAAAAGATGTCACATAATTCCTAAAGGGAATTTAAGCGGCACATTCCTGTGTCCCGTCGCGTCTAGTGTCTGGCTCTACTAAACATTCCGAGATAGTAATTCGACACCACTTTGCCGTAAAATAAAAAAAAAAGTAAATAATGTTGATGGTGCGCCCCGGGAGTTAACTTTTTGTAATGTGCGGCCGTAGGGTTACCAGAAACAGACAGCTAAACATCCCAAACTTATTTATTAAAGATACTTTCACAAATACGCATTTATATTACCTACATCAAAAAGTAAAAAAGGGAAACCTAACTATATTTGTAGTACTTGTGAGCTTTTCGTTTTCGTATTTTCCTCGTAGATTGTTTTTCTTCAATCCTTTGTAAAGGTCGTATTTATAGTGCTTTGTATACGATATCAAATACATGTTTATTTTTTAAATGCCAAGCTGGTAATTTGAGAATTGTTTCATTAGCTGTTATACTTCTGGAGAGCTTTCATAAGTTCATAATGTGAAAAGTGGGTGGTACATACCTAGCTTGAAAACCCACATTTTGTGATTATAAAAAAGTTACTTAGGCCGGATTACTATTCGAATATACCTAGTAATAATTCCTATTTGATTTTAGAAAATACATTTTTAATAAAAAAAAATATTTCAAAAATATTTTAGATAAATTTCGACTATTAATTGTTATACCTATTTTAAATGGATATACTTTTTAAATTTGTTGCTATCGCCACACTACGTCTGCGTTGATCGCTTTTATTGGCGTCAGTGCTCGGGGGCCATGTTCGTCCATAAACTGTTTCTTTTTTACTTTTTATTGATACATTGTCCGACACTAGGCCTCCAGATTAAAACGAATCGATGTGACTAATCAAAACACTCCAAAATTAGAATGCACGTGTTTTTTATGTTGTCAATTATTTTCTCGTTCGTTATTAACTTCATGTAATTATGTTACGGATATATAATGTATGTGTGTTTTCCCATTTATTTGTTGAGCTAAATTATCGAGTAAATTGTTACATATTTTTGTAACTTTAATGGCTTAATACTGAAATATTCAATGATTTCTGAAATAAGTATTTACAGTAGGCAAGTACCTAGAACGACCTTTAGTCGTACAGTTATCCTCATTTGAGGTTTCTTACAATGTGCCTAAATACAATTATATTGTAAATGTTAAAGACATATCCCTAAGTAAATAGGTACAA